CCACTACGTCATATGATGTGGATTTGATCGCTGAGCTGCTAAATATCTTATACTAAACAATAAACATATTTTAAACTATCTGAAATTTTGTCACTGGCATTTTAAGTACCACGTACTTGGATTATCACGTCTCACAATCTCTTCGAAAAGAGTAGAATATTGTGAAATGTACATTTTCACTCTTAATCTTAAAAGGGAAATACGTGAATTATTAACAACTAGCATTGCCCGCGACTCCGCCCGCGTTCAGATGACCAAATTCTTAGATTTACACATGAGTATTGAGTATACTCTTACATTGCAGTTTTTGTATTTTTTCTCAGAAATGAGACATTTTCCCGCGGTAAAAAGGATCCTTTATGTTGACCCGGATAACCAGCTATTATCATACCAAATTTCATCAATATCCCTCCAGTGGTTTTCTGTGATGCGGTAACAGACAGACAGACAGACAAGAATTCAAAAAACCATAGATTCGGCCTCTGTATCAATAATAGTCTATTGCAATAAGATTTTCCAAAAAATATTTAATGTACAGATTCGGCTTAGTTACAATTTTATTATATGTATTTTACTTTCACGTGTCAATATTTATTAGCTATAACCCGTTTATTTTCTCCTCAACTGAGGCAGAAACTCATGAATATTGAGCTAAAAATACAAAGAGCAATAAATTCGTAGACGATATACTACATGTGTACACTGTACATATGTACATACAATATAGATGCAAAGCAGACAATTATTTAATAAACGCAACGGTTGGCTTAAGTAGATCGTCTGCGTCTTTATTGATCTAAATGCTTCTATTAAAGTGTCCCTTGGAGATATGATCATATTCTTTATTATAATATCTCACTAGTTTACTTAACGACATGTTTGGCTCAGTTTGCAGTGGCCCTACTTGCTGCGCCAGCGGGTTCGAGTCCCGCTGGGGGCATTCATTTGTGTGATGAGCACGAATGTTTGTACTCCAGTCATGGGTATATATAGTCATATTTAGAACATTTTTTGTATTTTAAGTTATATATGTGTATTGTATCAACTATTCCGTATCCATAATACGAGCCTTGTAACTTACCATGGAACTAAATGGTGTTGTGTGTTAATGTCCTGACATATTTATTTATTTATGATTTCGATACCTTGTTAGGTAGATTAAGGAAAAATAGAAGTCACTTTACCTTTTCTAAAATACTATAAAGCTGTCTAATGTCTAATAATAGAGACTTAAATATTTGCATAATTAACACAAATCTGTTCATTGAACTAACGATCTTGTACTATATAGTAGGAATCAAACATAATACTCGTATGTATAGCGAAACAAATGCGCGGTCTATACTTTAAGATGATAACAAAAAACCATCTTTTTGCTTATTAGGATCCCATAGTACAATAGGGAAAAACGAAATCCTTATAGGATTGATTATTGATTGATTGCCTCAGTCAGACCGCAATGTGCAGACTATGCCATGAGACAGAGGAAACTGCTATGCACATCCTCTGCTCGTGCGGTCCACTCATGCACCGCAGAAGTATCTATCTAGGGCAGCATATTATGCAACCAGAAGAGAAACAGATGCTCCCCGCTCAGAAAATCTGGAAGTTCCTGGAGTCAACAGGACTAAGCGGAGAACTTTAATTTATTCCAAAGGGAGCTACAATGGACCATAACTGGTCGACGTAGCTAGGGCCGACCTCGGCACCACACCCAAAAATAAATAATAATAATAATTGATTGATTGTCAAAGAAATATAATTATAATTAACATTATATATATGTATATGGTTCAAAAGTATTTATAAAATGTATGTGCTTGGGATTTCAAAACTAATTTCAAAAAAAATTCTCTCGTAACCTTAAGTTATTAAATTCGTTTTAAATTTCATTATTATTAATATAAAGATCTCCTTCAAGCGATTTTACTCTGCGGCCCTATGAGTATATCGGCGGCTAATCTATATAAGTATTTCTTAAATACATCACGTTTATAATATTTAAGTAAGAATTTTAGCTTGTCATATGTAATCTATACATCATGAACGAATTAGTGGCTAATTCGTTCATGCTATACATACAATAAAATTGTAACTAAGCCAAATCTGTACATTAAGTATTTTTTGGAAAATCTTACTGAAATAGACATTATTATCGATACAGAGACCGAATGTATAGTTTTTAGAATTTTTGTCTGTCTGTCTGTTACCGCATCACCGAAAAACCACTGGAGGGATTTTGATGAAATTTGGTATGATGATAGCTGGTTATCCGGGTCAACATATAGGATACTTTTTACCGCGGGAAAATATCTCATTTCTGAGAAAAAATACAAAAACTGCAATGTAAGAGTAAACTAATATGTAAAACCTAGACCTCCTAAGAATTTGGTTTTTACTCATCTGAACGCGGGCGAAGCCGCGGACAATGCTAGTTAAATCTAAAATGGAAGCATCGCACAAAGAAATAATCACTTCCTAATGTCTTTATTCTTTAAACGTTGTTGAAAAACCTTACATAAAATGGTAGTAGTTACAACCACACTAAAAACTAAATTATTTTGGCGGCATCTGTGAGAAAGCTTTTATAACAAAATTAAAGCTCTACAAAAATTGGACCACCCATCATGCACCGACGTAATTTAAACAAGAAGGAAAAACTAAGTCATTATATTCTCTTTTATAATTTTGATTCTTGCTTATCGTTAGGTACTTATAAATGGTTATAGTTCATAGAAGTATAGAGTTCATAGAATATAGTTATCATATTATAATTTCTACATTTTAAGACTTGATCAAAACATCATAATATTTTATATTTTTGGCCATTTTCATGACAATACCGGTACGTATAAATACATAATTAGTTTTTTGGGATTATTTAATACGCATATTGAATTATTATATCCACAAAAACAACATATTGTGTATTTACGTTCCGTAGATTTTAGTTTACTGGACAGTTTCAAGTATTATATTCTTTGTACTACCTATTATATTAAAAAAGTAATACCTACGTTATAAAACGCTTAAAAACATTATTTTTACTCATCGTCAATATTAACCTCAATATGTTAAACTTATCAAAACTAAACAAATGACCCTAATTTCAACGACTATACTTATAGTAAGCATTAAAAAGCTTTATTATCCATTCCTTCATCAAATAAGCTAGATAAGACGTATTTTACTGTCGATGAATTTCACACACTTGTTAAGTTTGGAAAATAATAAATTATTATTATAAGTTAATGAAAAAAAATATTTCTTTATACTTTTGCTAGTTAGTAGTAGCAAAATAATCGCAGTCAAGCAAATTAATAAACTTTTGAAGCATTCGCCGTAACACTATAAATTTAATAATAGGTACCTACATATTACTTCCCTCTGCAGTTTTATCTAGTTGCATCGCTATCAATCAATGTTTCAGGAAAAACGTTGCAAAAGTTATATAATTCCGGAAAGATTGATAGTGAGACGTAACCTTATCTAATAATATTACACTAAAAGATTTTTTTCATTTCATTTACACACATAGTACTTAATTAAGCAATATATATGTATATGAAATTTTGTAAGTACATATATGAAATCCAGGTGACAATACAATAATTTCGGTCCATGGAGCTAATCTGATGAAGCTAAGAGTTGAAAGTGGAACTCTTCAATGGCTGAAATGCAATGAAATGAATGAAAAAATGACTCTTCAATACTTTTCAAAACGCTTTTTTTTTAGTTTTTAAGTCTTTATTTTGTTTGTTATACAATCAAAGTAATTATTCACGCATAAATGTTAAACTTTAAAGTTGATAATATAATAGGTGTAAAAGCCCATATAAAGCATATGTATCCAGAAAAGCTTTATTTTGTTTGAGCTGAAATGCTTTGTCCGTCGGAAAATAAAGCTCATGCAAAATACAAAATGAACAGGAAAATCACAAAAACCTCCCACAATTGTAGCTTTTCATTTTTATTTCAGTTAAGGACTAAATTTATTAACCTCAATTTTCGCAAACATGAAACATCGCGCTATCCCTTATCTTAATTTATTAACCTACTATAAAAATGAGAAACATTTGCTTTTTGCTTATTATTTAATTGTGTTTGTTTTCTACTATATATTTTATTCAGGTTGTATAAAGCAGATTTTCATAAATAATCCATTGAATGAACGTTGATTAAAAATTTCGAAACTAAATAAGTTGTCTATACATATAATAAAATTGTAACTAAGTCGAATCTGTACATTAAATATTTTTTGAAAAATCTAATTGAAATAGACACTATTATCGATACAGAGTCCGAATCTATAGTTTTTAGAATTTTTGTCTGTCTGTCTGTTGCCGCATCACAGAAAAACCACTGGAGGAATTTTGATGAAATTTGGTATGGTGATGGCTGGTTATCCGGGTCAACATATAGGATACTTTTTACCGCGAGAAAATTTTTCATTTCTGAGAAAAAATACAAAAACTGCAATGTAAGAGTATACTAATATGTAAAACCTAAGAATTTGGTTTTTGGTCATCTGAACGCAGGCGGAGCCGCGGGCAATACTAGTATCAAAATAAAAAGACCACATTTTATTCTGTCAAATCACTGCTTAATTTTTAAGTAGAATTAGTCCAAATATTAGGAGAAAATTCTTTTAAGAAAATGTATGAAACATTTCTCAATGCGAAGACGACTATTGTAGTAACACAATCGCATTTCGTTTCACCATTCATTATTCAGAAGTATTATTATTCAGAATTACATACCATTCGATATTATCATTCCACCCACGGCTTTTACGGGCTCTTCCCAATGGGATAAATTGAGATTAATCGAATTGCTCACTGAATGTTTTGGATTTATTAACATTGTATGGTATATTTGTCACATAGTTTATTCCACCTTAACATATAACATCTACTTATTTCTATCTATTATATTTATATTTTGAATACATCTAATTGCTAAATTTTATATGTACTTATATCTATTTACTTTTTTTACAGATTTGTACGATTTGCAGTCATTGGGTAAGCAGCGCAGTATTATATTATTATACAATTTTATATTATTTAATTGGTTAGCTAACATGATGTTTTTAATAATAAAAGATTCTTATTAGACATTTTTTATAAAAAAGGTTTGAAGTACCTCTTACCACCTTGTCATCGTCGTGTGAAACGAGCAATATAATAGAATATTCTATTAGTAACTTTAACATTATGTAAAAAAGTGTCCATTGAACTATAAGATGTAAGAAGTAAATCATTATTACAGTAACAAGTGCTCATACTTAATTATAATTATTTTATCAATACAATACATATTTTATAATGCTTTAAGTTTCTTCTTTTATCTACCCATAGAGATGAATCCGAAGAATATTTCCGCAAAATAAACTTCTATTTTTGTTTTATAAATATAAATATAGATATTAAAACATCAGAAACATTTACGAAAAAAGATATTGAAAAAAATCTATTCCATACGAAGCGTCTAAACGACGAACCTGAGCGAAGTGAGTGTGATTCGCTAGTGGATAAAACTTCAAACGAATCTCCTAATTTCTATCAGCTGTACAAGGTGTTTCCGCAAAATCTGTTTGCACATCCGGAGTGTGTAGTTAATGGGACACGTGCAGTGTGGGAACTTACGTACACCCCCATGTAAGTGTCATAAGGTGTTCTAGACACTGGGATCTCAGCCGCTGTGGGAATGTTCCATGATGCATTAACAAATAGATCACACATTGTACTTTTTCTCCATCATATACCTCCATATGGAGTTAAGTAAAAAATTAACTACCGCTCCTATTTTAGCTAGAATGTTTTCTTTGTAATTCAGCTTTGTTTATAGGTTTAATTATGATAGATTTTTAAATTATACTTTATCTAGCATCATTAAATGATATCGTATAGACTATAGTCCATAGGTATAGCAAAATTCTTACATGCAGGAGAATATTGACATTTATTCCATCTCACTATGTTTCAAATATTGAGACAGGTGGTTGTTCTATGTTCAGGTTCTATGTATCAGGTGGTTGATCGAAAGCATTTTATACTTGATCTTAAGTCTTGTTTTGCAATACCTGACACACAAATGTTTTGAACTGTGCACCGTCTCAAAATGTACTCAGAAGCTAGAAGCTTGTTTGCATTCACAGTTTGAGGTATTCGTCACTCTCCATTCAGCCGTCAACGTGGGCATAGTTTCATAATGTGTAGAATAGACAATGGAATCCTTAGACAAAAGGACTAGATACGCGCTTGAAACACCGCGGTCTGACTGTTAACAATAGGAAGTGGGCCAGCAACGATTTTAGACATTCTAGCCACTTGGTACAGTGTCGATTTTTCCTGTCGGTATTGTTCGATGAAAACACTCTAATTTTAATTACATGTCGATAAGAAAAATTAGGAAACTAAAGAAATGAGTTTTTTTTTTATTCTGTTCAAAAATGTTTATGGGTGTATAATGCAACGCACTGCACTCAATTTCCATACAACACGGTGCTATAACTCTTTACTCTAGCCATAAATAATAAAGATACTTATTTTAGCATTCATTTTCAATCAAATTTAAATTTTGTTTTGTACAACTTTGGTGCCTCGGTAAAAATGATAGACAATTAATTTCCTTAAAGGCAAAACTCTGTAAGCTCGTGCCGAGCATAATGGGTTGAAACAAATTTTATTATTCGAAGAAATTGACGGTAGGAACTTTATTATGGCCGTAAAGGATTTTATCGTTATTTGGGTTTTGGTTAGATAGAACAGCGACGACCTTAGAAGACGTAACGTTGTCAAGGACGATATATAATTTCCACAATAATAAATTAGTGAGCACCATATGAATATTATGAAACACCTCCATTAACTATGATTTGTTTAATCAAGTTTTATTACAAAATTTTCTCACACTTTTTGTTACAAAATGTAATATTTCGAAAGTCAAGTGCTAAGTACACGTTTATATGATAAAAATGTTAATCAAATCGGATTTCTAAGATTGTAACGATTATTGTATCTATTTAGAGAAATGGACTTTGTAATAACGAAAGTAGTGAGCCATTAAAGTAAATTTAGTTATTGAGGATATTTATTTCATTCCACTGCATATACCTGTATCGTGGGAAATGGCCTTTGGTTCAGAATTATTTACTATTTATTAAATAGTAGGAAATAGGAATCTTTGATAGAACATTTTTAAAATGTGTATGTCAATAAAATATCTGTAATAAAAAGTCAACCTCATTTAGTAAAGTTAGAAGAAGTTAAACCTTTTACACTTGAGTCGTATTGGTTAGTTCTTTACTATCAAAAAAATGATTCTCGTCCTTGAATAATATCGTGGCGTATCTACTAAAGGCTATGACCTTACCGCAAGCAAATTATACTATATAGGATCAATGTAGAACACTCTTCTTAACAAATATTTACCTATTCAGATGAGGAATCGGAATGCTATTATTAATAAATACAAAAATTTGTATGCGTGTGTATGTTTAGTACTTTGTCACGTTAAATCAGCTGGACTTATTAGGATGAAATCTAAACAGCCACCCTGGAGTAATAAATAAAAACACTAAACAGTTAAAATAAAAACGACTCAGTCATAAAAATTATACCTCTATCATAGAGTTTTGTAACTTTAAATATATACCTACTTTGGTCAAATAAATAATAATAACGACGGTTAACCAAATTATTTCCAATAGAAGTATAAAAGAAACAAAAAATAATACTAACAAAACCAATAATCATCGTGCTGAAGTCAGCGTACGTTATTTAAAGCTCGTGAGTGATATCATCAGCCGTTTACTAAGAAATCGCTTTGTTTCTATCAAAACATAAATAAGTCTTTTTCTTGTTTTTAAACATACTACATTATTTTGTATTTATTAAGTATTTTTATTGACGCTCTTAAATAATCTTACTATACCTACTTATTACTAATATACAATGCGGAGAAAATTTGGCTTGGAAAATTCTTGTCGCTTTTTATACTTATTGCAGAAGGTTATAGGGTATCCAACATTACGCTAGAGAAATCATCCCTTGAATCGTAGCAATCATTATCCATACATCCATATCCATACTAATATTATAAATGTGAAAGTGTGTTTGTTTGTCCTTCTTTCTCGTCGAAATGGAGTAACGGATTGGCGTAATTTTTTGTGTGGAGATATTTGGAGGGCTGGCGAGTGATATAGGCTACTTTTTACCGCGAAAGATTATTTCATTCCCACGGGAAAACACGTTATAAAACAATCCAAAAAAATATTTATATCAGAATTACTTGAAACTTGGTATATATACTCTTCAATAAAATTAAATAAATACGTGTCTTTGCGTTTTTCAAAATTCATCCTATAAGGGGGTAAAATAGGGGAAGAAAGTTTGTATGAAACTAGCAGTTTTCTTGTAGTTTTAGCGCGAGCAAAACCGCGGGTTCTGCTAGTAATAACATAAATAAAGTAAGCAAATCTAGTCTGCCATACAAATTACATTATATCCGGCAATACATATAGCGTATATTGAGATGCAATTATGTTCATCATTTAGTAGGAAGTTTAAATTTTACTATAAAATGATCCGTAATGACCACTTTATTATTCTGATAATGCGCGATGTCCAGAGAGAGTAGCATCTAATATGTACTAAATATAACTTTCTGATGCATTATCTTAAGCAAATTACAGTTGACCTCTAGTTTCTGAATAGAATCTAAACCAGATGTTCATGAATCATAGTACAAACTACCAATCTATTAAAAATCCATTAATAATTAGGTACATACATATTACATAATATGTTCTTATATGCAGTTATGAATCCATACTAATACGAGTATTATAAATGTGAAAGTGTGTTTGTTTGTTGTCCTTCTTTCACGTCGAAACGGAATGACGGATTGGGGTAATTTTATGGGTGAAGATAGTTAGAGTTCTGGAGAGTGATATAGGTTACTTTTTACCGCGGAAAATTATTTCATTCCCACGGGAAAACACGTTATAATACAACCCAAAAAATATAATCAGAATTACTCGAAACTTGGTATAAATGTTCTTCAATACAATTAGATAAATACATGTTTTAGCATTCTTCGAAATTTATCCCGTAAGGGGGTAAAATAGGGGATGAAAGTTTGTATGAAACCTACCTTTTTTGAGTGTTTTCTGTAGTTTTAGCGCGAGCGAATTAGTTTCTCATACTTTTTATTTAGATTTCATGTGTGGATCCTTTATATTGTGAGCAGTGACTAAATGAAAAATAACGTGAGTACAAAGACTCGTATATATATTATAAAACATAGTCTACAAGTCTCCATATTTTTTGCACATTTATCTTTACATATTTATCTGTTACGTAATAACTGAGTTTTATAAATTAACAAGTATTTAATAATGATTAAAGTTACTATCCATTGTAGAGGTCAAAACAATTTTACCTTCGCATCGATTTTGAGCAACTATAAAAAAATATCGAAAAATATATCTACATACATATTTATCGTACCGAGTTTGGGTTGATTTTGGGTAATATCGAGCCTTTAGTTTTATTTTAATTACAGTTATATTAAGAGTTCTCGCACACTACTGATTTTTTATCGGCCGATAATAAAATTCACAATCACTATGAAAATATGTTTAAGACTGTAAGTGTAAGTGGTTCTTTAATTGACGTAACTTTTTTATTTATGAACCGATGGACAAATACTAAATGTTAAGTTAACCTTACTACAATCCATGAGTGAAAACCGCATCCAAATCAGTTAATCCGTATTTGAGATTAGCGCGCACAAACGCACAGACAAACAGACAAACCGACAAACAGACAAAAATTCTAAAAATCATTGTTTTTGGTTCTATTGCGTAAATTTTCTCAAATATCTTCCATGTACAGACAGCGATTAGTTACACTTTTATTATATGTATAGAAGATAGCATATATTATTAGTTGATAACAATAGAATTTGTTCATTTTTTGACTAAATCAATTCGACTAAACTATCATTCCATAGAACG